GAAGACTCTTGAGAGTCCCTTGGACTGCAAGGAGATCCAACCAGTCCATCCTAAAGGAGATCAGTCCTGGGTGTTCATTGGAAGGACTGATGTTGAAGCTGAAACACCAACATTTTGGCCACCTGATATGAAGAGCTAACTCATTTGAAAAGACCCTGATGTTGGGAAAGATTTAATACGGGAGGAGAAGGGGATGACGCAGTATGAGATGGTTAGATGGCATCACCAATTCAATGGACATGAGTTTGGGTAAACTCTGGGAGTTGATGATGGACAGGGAGGCCTGGCATGCTGCAGTCTATGGGGTCGCAAAGAGTAGGATAGGACTGAGTGACTGAACTGAACTGAATTCATCTAATTGACTTCTGATCCAATTTCTTAATCTAAAAATTTAGATATTGAAACTATTGTTATCTATACACTCTATAGTCAGGTCATCTTGTTCAATTAGATTTTCAGAGATGATAATACAAATCAGATTTTTCTGGTCCTTTTTTAAATCTCCTAAACCACAAATCTTTTAATTAATTTTAGTTAATTAATGACAAACTGAAATTTCTGAGGAATAAAAAACATGCAAGTAAAACTTATCTTTTTCTATGTTTATGTATGTTTACATTTATATATGTTACGTAAACGGTCAATATTACAAGTAAAATATTTGAAATGAAAATATAGTAAAATATCTGCAGTCATATGTTTCACAAGAAAGCAGTTTTAAAATATAGTCTATTGAATGAGGCAGCCACCTGGTGACAGAAAACAGAACTTACACTATATTGCATGAACCGAACGTCATAAATATTCTACATAAATCAACCTCAAAAAACATAATAGCGCTGTCCAACAGAAACATAATAGAAATCACACAGGTAATTTAAATTTTCTAATCGCCTCTTTTAAAATGTAAAAAAAAAAACCCAAAAAAACCCAGTAGTTTTAATAAAGTATTTTCACGTAAACCAATATATTAAAACTATTTATCATTTCAATATGTGATCAATACATATATTTTTCATGCTAGGTCTTCAAAACACAGTGTGTGTTTCATAGCACATCTCAGTTCGGACAAGCCATCTTTCACGCGGCTGTAGCTAAATGGCTCCCATGTGGAACAGCGCTTATCTAGAGAATGAAATGAGACCAGCAGTTTGATAGCCTAAGTTCATTCATTTCTCAGCCCTCTGTCCACTCTTAAAAGTTCCTCCCATCCCCTCTTTAAATTTTACTTTATTTTGTAAAAGTTTGGCCACCAGTATACTTTGGAGTGCTTAAACGACCCTCAAAAGCCTGTTGGCGAACGACAAGAAGACCGTTGGAGGGTCCAGGTCTTCTCTGGAGATCGCTAGGGCGTTAGGTTGGCCTGCGCTGTCCTTCGATTCTGCTCGCTCTGCGCTCAGCCGCTTCCGGCTGCGGTCAGGTACATTCCTGGAGAGCGGCGGTCGCCGGCGTTTGGACCGAGGGGCGCGTGGGGATATCAGGGCCTGGGGTGTCTGGCCGCCTTGTGACATCACAGCATCATGCTTTGGGGGTTCAAGTTCAGCGAGGCTCCTGGCTTCCAGACCCCGAAGGTCAAAGATTTTCAGTGGGAAACAGCCGGGACTGGAAGAGGCAACGACTAGGTACCCGCTGTAAGTCGTTGCTTCCCATGCGGGCCTGTGATCTGGCGAAGACGGGTGAAACGACACATGCAGAGTCCAAAAGACCCACGGAGCGGGGCGTTCCTCCCCACCATTTCCCAGGAGCACCAGCGGGGTCTTCCGGATGGACCCCTACCTCTGCTGATTGGGTGTAGCTTGCCGCCACGTGATCCAGAAACGGGTCGGCCACCGCTTTCCCCGCCCCTCTCACCCCCTCCCCACCCGGAGGTCGCGGGAGGCGGAGAGCTGGTTTCCTAGGTAACCGCAGCGGGCAGTTGTGTACACACCAGGCCCCAGGAAAGGGAGGGTGTCCAGCCTGCTGCTGCAAGACCAGGATTAAGAGGCGGGAGTGGACTCTACTCTGTCTCCGATTGCCCCGGAATCCATCCTGTCTCTGGGATAAGGTGAGTGACTGTAACCTGGTGGCCTTTGGGAGTACCTCACCTCTAAGCAAGACCCAGGAGTCTTTGCTCCCCTCTCCTCACTCTCTCTCTGGCCACACCAGGAGGAAGATACGAGAAAAGCAACGTTGAGGTCAAAAGACCCTTGTAATGGTGCAGTGGAGATGATGATAATAATGAGAGACAGTGACGTGACTTTATCTGAGGCCATCAGGTTTACCGGAGCAAAGCTGAAGAAGAAAAGGAGAGGGAGGGTGGCACACAGCCATCTGGGCAGCCTTTGCTGAGAAAAGGAAGTGCTCCTTGGACACCCTTGGTACCGCTCACCTAGAACTGGAAGGGCATTTGTTTGGCGCATCAGTAATAATAGATGGAATTCTGATCGCTTTATACCCAAGGCAGGAAACAATTTGACCATACAGGCCTTCTAGTTTGTAGAAAAGAAATTGATTTTCTCACAGTGACACTCTCCCCAGCTCTCATGGCAGACAGAAACATGGTCCTTTGAACTCTAATTATTGTTCTACTCTGACCAGTCATGTAAAACTTAAGGTATTGGGTTGGCCAAATGCTTTAGGTATCATCTTGTGGAAAACCCAAATGAACTTTTTAGCCAACCCAATATTTCTTTAAGTTATACCATATAGGACCCTGTGGCATGACAACTAATTCAAACCATACAATAAATTGTTATCAAATACCAAGCATGTGTCAGGCACTGTGATAGGGTCATTGTCCCTGCCTTCAGTGAACATGTAACCTGGTAAGGAACAAAGACCTGGAAGTATCACAGTACAGTAGGACAGGTGTATTTATGCCATATTCTGGCCTTTATTGGAATTATGAGCAGGAGAATGATTATAATACAGACAGAATTAAAGTCTTCACACAGAAGACCCTTGATTTAAATTTTTAAGGGCATATGGAGTATGCCATAAAGTCAAGGGAAAGTTAGGGAGGGGAAACAGCATATGCCAAAGTACAGAAATATCCCATGCCATTCAGAGAACTATAGTTGTGGCCAGAGCAGAGCCTGGGATGCTCCCAGGAATTTGTAGTTGATGAGCTTGAAAGTTAGGCAGGAGTTAGAGTTTGGACACCATGAATACCCTGCAAGGGTATTCTTGCCTACTCCCCTTAGTAGCGTGAGCAAATTTCCCTTTTGGGAGGTTGCTGGCTTCCCAGGTGACTCAGTGGTAAAGAATCCGCTTGCAGTGCGGAAGACATAGGAGATGTGGGTTCAGTTTCTGGGTCGGGAAGGTCACCTGGAGAAGGATGACGGCAACCCACTCCAGTATCCTTGCCTGGAGAATCCTACGGACAGGGGAGCCTGGCAGGCTACAGTCCATGGAGTCGCAAAGAGTCAGACATGACTGAGTAATTGGCGTCATGGTAGTGTAGAGGATAGATTGGCAGGAAGTGAGACTATAGGGAAAACTTCAGTTAAGTTGAAGTAATGAAAACCTGAATCAAAGCAGAAGCAATTGGATAGAGGGGAAGGGAAAAAAAACTTGATAGACATTTAACAAGTACATTTTAGAAGTACGTATATGCGGAATGATTTAATGAATGAGCAAAAGTGGGGGAAAGAATGAAAGAGTGATTGAGCATCAGTTCCAGGCTTCTCACTTGAATAATTAGAACAATGATGTCATTTACCAAGAGAAAATATGCATTAGGAGAAGCAGGTTGGCTAGAAAATATAATGAGTTCAGTTTTGAACATACTGAGTTTGAGACACATTCTGATGGAGCTTTCCATGTGGGTAGTTGGGTTATTGCACAGAAAAAAGCAAGATAAAAATTAGTAATTTTTCACCAAGCAGGAAACTATTAATCAGAAAATTAGGCATTAAATAACAAGTAGAGAAAAGTCAAGGAGAAAAAGTCAAACCAAAAAAGAAAACTTAAAAGAGTCATCAGCATCATCAGATTTCATCTCAGAGTCAAGTTAAGAGCTGAAAGATGTCCAGTGTCTTTGGCATTAAACCATTGTTGACCTGGAAAAAGAAGATGCAGTTGCCTGAGGTGTCCCCACTGAGACAGCAGTAAATTGAGAACTGAATAGAGGTACTGAAGTGTTGCTAATTACTCCCTGTTTGCTAATGCTCTAATATGGTGCTAATGACATATCTAAAAGGTTTTTGTAAAGGGATCTAAAATCAGCTAATCATTGAATATAGGATAGGAGAACTTTTTTTTAAAGATAATAATGACCTAATATTTGTGTATGAAGAGAAAAGAGACCCTAGAGAAGGAAAGATGGGAATAAATGAAAAGAAGAAAAATTTGGCAGATCAGTGTTCTGAAGAGTCTGAAGAGAATGGGTTGAGTACACAGGAAAAGGGATTCATTTGGGACAGGAGAAAGAATACTTTTTCTAAAATGAATCAGACAATGAAATAAACACAGTTGACTCTTGAACAATCCACGTATAACTCATAGTTAGCCAGCTTATCCTTCGTTTCTCCTTATCCTCAAATTCAAGAAGTCATGGACCATGTCAGTAAGTCATTTCAGTTGCTCAGTTGTGTCTGACTCTTTGTGACCCCATGGACTGCAGCACACCAGGCTGCCCTGTCCATCACCAACTCCTGGAGCTTGCTCAAATTCATGGCCATCGAGTCAGTGATGCCATCCAACCATCTCATCCTCTGTCATCTCCTTTTCTTGTTGCCTTCAGTCTTTCCCAGCATCAGGGTCTCTTCCAATGAATCAGTTCTTCACATCAGGTGGCCAAAGTATTGGAGCTTCAGCATCAGTCCTTCCAATGAATATTCAGAACTGATTTCCTTTAGGTTTGACTTGTTTGATCTCCTTGCAGTGCAAGGGACTCTCAAGTGTCTTCTCCAACACCACAGGTCAAAAGCATCAGTTCTTCACCACTTAGCTTTTTTTATGGTCTAACTCTCATAAGCATATATGACTACTGGAAAAGTCATACCTTTGACTAGACGGACCATTGTCAGTAATGTCTCTGCTTTTTAATATGCTGTTTAGATTTGTCATAGCTTTTCTTCCAGGGAGCAAGCATCTTTTAATTTAATGGCTGCAGTCACCATCTGCAGTGATTTTGAAGCCCAAGAAAATAAAGTCTGTCACTGTTTCCATTGTTTCCCCATCTGTTTGCCATGACGTGATGGGACCAGATGCCATGATCTTAGTTTTCTGATTGTTGAGTTTTAAGCCAGGTTTTTCACCCTCCTCTTTCACTTTCATCAAGAGGCTGTTAGTTCCTTTTAGCTTTTTGCCATAAGGGTGGTGTCATTTGCATATCTGAGGTATTGATATTTCTCCCTGCAATCTTGATTCCAGCTTGTGCTTCATCCAGTCTGGCTTTACGCATGATGAACCATGTAGTACTGTAGTACTTACTATGGGAAAATATCTGCATATAAGCAGGCCTGTGCAGTTCAAACCTGTGTTACTCAAGGGTCAGCTATATATTTTAAGAGGTATGGGAATTTAAGAAGTGTCTATCTCATGACATCATGGCATCATTGTTCTCTGTGAAAATAGAAACAAGATCATCTACTGAGTGAGAGAGAGAACTTGAGGTGAGTGGTGAAAGTTTAAAATAGTACAGATGTTGTGAATCTCGGGTCTGTATCTCTGGTCCTACTCTTTAGGAGAGGAAGTTGAAGAGGAAAATATAAAATATCTGTTGTTGGATTCAACTCAGGTTAGAGACCGTGCATTCGTAGTGATTTCAATTCACATGACCAACCAGTCAAGTGAAATCTTTCAGCAGCACGCCAGAGCAGAGATCAGAAGTGACTGGATCAATCCAAGGCTTGAGATTTGAAGGATGAAAGCTATAGATGCTCCTAGTGGCTCCTGGCTCCCTGGAGAAACTTGAGAAGACCTGCAGTTTCTGAGATGGACAGGTCCTGAAAAGAGCTTTCCCAGGTGCAGGAGAGTGAGTACAAGCTGGGCATCAGGACACTCATCTCTAGATGGAATCGGAAGTCGGAAGCCTTAGGACCACTTGAGTTTGAAGAAAACATGGGAGGTTTGTGAATGCCAGGAAGGTCCATAATTATGTATTATTAATTATGCATTATCAAATAATTCAGATGTAGTTATAAAAATTATATAATTTGAGGGTTTTAAGTTAACTTTTGTTTCACTAATTAACTATTGAATTATAACAGGGTTTTTCCTAAGTGAGGGCATTGGTGAAGAGAAGTTAAGATGAAGTGAAAGAAAGGTTGATATCACAAATATGCATATTTCTCTCTGAAGAAAAAGTAGTCTTTGAAAAAGAATAGATTCATGTATATGTATAACTGAATCGCTTTGCAGTACAACTGAAGCTATCACAACATTGGTAATCAACTATGCTTCAACATAAAATAAAAAGTTGGAAAGAATAAAGAAAAAATAGTCTTCTTGAATAAATGGAGAGTTATATCTTGTTCTAAAGGAAGATTCAATACTGGAAAGGTGGAAGTTCTCCCTAAATTAATTTTTACAATCTAATTTCAGTCAGAGTCCCAAGTGAATTTTTAAAACTAAGTGAAAAATAATTATAAATCTTATTTGGAAAAATAAATATGAAAGAATAACCAGGAAATTTGAAAAAAAAAGAAATGAGATAGAAATTTACAATATAAATCAGTTATTAATACAAGATAATACTGTAGGAATAAATAGAGCTAATGGAAAGCACAGATTAGAAAGTCCAAAATTAGACTCAGGTACATATGAGAATTTAGTGAATAATGAAAGGAGCAGTTAATATCTTCTCTAATAGATATCTTGGGCATAGACTATAGGCTAGAAAACTTGGATTGCTGTTTGGTGACTCTGGGGGTGCTAAAGGCAGGCTTTGTCCCTTGTGTGGTGGTGGGCAGACAGACTTTTCCTTTGGTGCTCACAGACATTAAACCAGAATGTAGGGGCCCTCCTTTACTTGGGATGCCATCCAAGTAAACCTGGGAGGAAAGACTGTAGTCTGCATCTCTATATGGGCCTCTGATGGGGTATCTAAACTCCTTCAGGTAGTCCTTTGCTGCATGCTCCCTTGTCTGGCCACTCCTATGCTGTAATATTTGGGGATTGTCCAAGAATAGTATAAAGAGATAGCTGCCAATTGGAAGCAGGGAAGGAATGATCAGTATTACTTTCAGTAGATCTATCATCTAACCACTGCTTACCATCTTCACTACAACCACCCAGTTCCAGCTGCCACCCTTTCTCACCTTATTACAACTGCTCCTTGACTGATTTCCTTGCTTCTCTCATCAACCCCTGCAGTCCATTTTCAACACAGTAGCTAGGGCAATCCTTTTCAAAACCCAAGACAGCTCGTGTTATTCTTTCATTCAAAATCCTCATATAGCTTTACATCTTATTCAAAAAGAAATCCACCCCACAGTACTTCTCTGACTTCATATCCTACCAGTTTTCCACATGCTAGCAAGGTAATGCTTAGAATCCTTCAAGCTAAGATTTAACAATACATGAACTGAGAACTTCCAGATGAACAAGCTGGATTTAAAAAGGGCAGAGGAACCAGAAATCAAATTGCCAACATCCATTAGATCATAGAGAAAGCAAGGAATTTTAAAAAAAATCTATTTCTGCTTCATTGGCTGCATTGAAGTCTTTGACTGTGTGGATCCAACAAACTGGAAAATTCTTCAAGAGATGGTAATACCACCTTACCTGCCTCCTGAGAAACCTGTATGCAAGTCAAGAGGCAACAGTGAGAACCGGACATGGAACAATGAATTGATTCAGAATTGGGAAAGGAGTGCGTCAAGGCTGTATATTGTCATCCTGCTTATTTAACTTGTATGCAGAGTACATCATGAGAAATATCGAGTTGGCTGAAACTCAAGCTGGAATCAAGATTTCAGGGAGAAATATCAATAACCTCAGGTGTGCAGATGACACCACCCTAATGGCAGAAAGTGAAGAGGAACTAAAAAGCTTCTTGATGAAGGTGAAAGAGGAGAGTGAAATAGCTGGCTTAAAACTCAACAATCAGAAAACTAAGATCATGGCATCTGGTCCCATCACTTCATGGCAAATAGATGGGGCAACAATGGAAACAGTGACAAATTTTATTTTCTTGGGCTCCAAAATCACTGTAGATGGTGACTGCAGCCATGAAATTAAAAGATGCTTGCTCCTTGGAAGAAAAGTTATGACAAACCTAGACAGTGTATTAAAAGGTANAATAGCATTGAAACATGTATATTATCATATGTGAAACAAATCGCCAGTCCAGGTTCAATGCATGAGACAGGGTTCTCAGGGCTGGTGCACTGGGATGACCCAGAGGGATGGGATGGGGAGGGAGGTGGATGGGGGGTTCAGGATGGGGGACACATGTACACCCATGGCGGATTCATGTCAATGTATGGCAAAACCAATACAATATTGTAAAGTAATCAGCCTCCAATTAAAATAAAAAAGTTTATATTAAAATAAAATAAAATAAAAATTAATGACTGTAGCCTACATTTTATTGAAGGTATGTAGTTATTTAGTATTTCATACCATTAAGAAGTTGACTAGTTCATTTTAATAAACACTTATTGCCATGCCTGTGGTATGTTACTAAGTCCTGAGGATTCTTTTCTTTGCTAACTATACTTAGAAAACTGTATTCAGCTTGGGACATCACAACATAATAGAAAGAATGAACTGGAACTGATTCAAGGAAGAAAAACAAGAATCTTTCTAGTAAGAGAACTAAAAGTCATGAACTTGGGGCAAGATAAAGGTATAGATGAGAGCTGATTATGTTCTTCAACTATTAAAGGCTCATAAAGTGGAAGAAAAATTATGCTTGTTTTATTTGAATGCAGGAGGTAAAATGACAGTGAACGGGGAGGAGTTATGGAGAGACAGAATTAAGTTCAGAATAAAAAAATAACTTTCTAAGAGAATATTTCAGATATGGAATGGACTGTCTTGGGGTCTAGACATTCTTGGTAATGTACTGTTGGAAAATGTTAAGTCACAGGTGAGTAAGTCCACCTAAGTAATGTTAAGATTGCTTTACATGATATGGCATGACTCTGGTACTTACTTCAACTTTTCCTTTTTCTTAACAGATATATTATTATAACCTTTATTTTTAATGGAAGATGATTGAAAGTGAAAACGTAAACCAACACGACATAATTAAAGAACTGGTGAGTCAAAACCAGATTTCTTTCCAACTACATTTGTAAGAATATTAAATGAAACATTTTTACACCTCTCTGGAGTTTATCTAGAGATTTCTTCAATGATCTTTGGAAGTAGAGAAAAACCATATATGTGGTACAGCTTTTCTCCTTGTGAGTCAAAATGTCATCAATAAAACACAGTTTATAATTTCTAATATCAAAAATAATTTATTATCTTACAAAGGTAATAACCCAATTCCTTTTTTGAAAACAGTGTTTATGCAATGGTTTATCTTATGAGATGATTGGACAAGAAGGATCAGATACGTCAAAACTGGAAATGTTTTTCTCAGGGTATCCTCGTATAGTTGGATTGTCATTATTTCCTAACTTAACAAGTCTCACAGTTGTTGCTCAAGATATAAAAGAAATTTCAGGACTAGAAACTTGTTTACAGCTTAAAGAACTTTGGATTGCCGAATGCTGCATAGAGGTAAGTCTAAACATAACCTTACGTGAAGTATTTGTACTAAATTATTTGGCTTTGGAAAATAATTCATTGAAGTATATGCTTGAGGCATGGATCAAAACAGATAAATTCATACATGATGAATTAAACCCTTCACCCAATAAGACAAAAGAAACATTTAAATGGGCAAAATATAAAAATAGATGTATACAAAGGATAAAATAGAAATAACCTAAAAATAGACACATTTTACTTTTTAATAATCAAATCAGATCAAGTAATACCCAGTATTGCTTCATAGTAAAACTGGTTTATTTTAACACTATTGGTTGTGTGAAAATTATAACATCTGTATTGAAAAGCCATATTGCAGAATAAATCAAGAGCCAGAGATAGGTATATACCTTTTGACTCAGAAATCCCTATTCTAAGATTTTATCCTAGAGAAGTAATTAAAAGAAGAAAACTCTATACAAAAAGTTATTTGTTGTAATATTATTTATAGTAGTTAAATTTTTGAAACAAATAATCATATGAGATTATTTCTAAGAAAATTATTATAAACATGAAATATTTTGTAAATACTGTAATTTGAAAGATTATAAAAACATTTTTTTAGATGGCTTTAAGTTTAAAAAATCCCACAAAATTGTCTAGGTATTATGATTATAACCATATAAAATAGGTATCAAATTGATTAAAATTTAGAGAATATGAAAATGGAAAATAGATGTATTTAAGTAGAGCAATTATATGATTTTTTAATTTCAGTTCATTTTGCTGGGTATTGATTTTGCAGTCTATTCTGAAAATGTGATTTTTAAAGGAAAATGTACTTAAAATGTACCTTATTGGAAGGATTAATAAAACATAAATATTCAGTCTCCTCTTTTTTTTTTTTTTACAGAAAATTGGAGGTCTTCAAGAATGCAGAAGTTTAGAAAAGCTGTACTTATATTATAATAAAATTTCTAAAATAGAAAATTTAGAGAAATTATCCAGATTGGAGGTTCTTTGGCTGAACCACAATGCAATTAAATATATTGAGGTAAGATAATTTCAGTGATTTATATTTAAAATCAATACTCCTGTAGAGTTTAACCAGTGTCCAAGAAATATTCATGACTAGTTTAATTATTGTTGAGAACTAATGCATATATAGCATAGTATAACATATAGAGAACCTCATATGCATAAATTTCTTTATTCCTTCCACCATGTCTGGGAGGTAAGATGTTATTTCTTCTTTAAGAGTTAAAAATAAAAAGGAGGTTTAGAGAAGTTTTATATATAACTAGCTCTCTATGTGTTCTTTTTCCTCCACCTCCTCTTTTCCTCTCTACTCCGCTCCCTGTTCCCTTCTCCTTCAGTAATTCTCTCCAGCTTCCAGAGAACAAGGTAGGCTGCACTGAGTTCTGAGCTTGTAAAGAAAACAGCACCCAGTGCTTGAAACACCAGGAGAGCTAACCAGCTTGCTCAGATGACTTATAAACATAGATTTTAATGATTTCTTCTAAATTATATGTTGCCTAAATTTTTAGGGCTTGCAAACTTTGAAGAATTTAAGTGATCTCAACCTTGCTGGAAATCTAATAAGCAGCATTGGTATGTACAGTTTCATTTGAAATATGAGATAATGTTACAATAATTTTTTGTTAGTATAAAAAGTACAGTCTTAGATTTCTTTCTTTTAGACTTTTTGTATGATGTCTTTACAGAGCATTTCTAAATCTACAGTTAAAGGACATGGAAATACTACCCATTGATCAGTGGTTACTAAATGTGCAACGTTACTGTTAGGAAAAGATGGTCACATACAACTCAGAAACATGACAAGATAGGAATAGGAGGCAAAAGGAGAAATGTAACTTTTTTCTCATCTTGTTTTTTTAAATTTAAGGTCGCTGTCTTGATCCCAATGAACACCTAGAAAGATTAAACCTTTCTGGTAACCAAATATGTTCTTTCAAGGTATCCTCTGAGCCACCAGGGAAGCCCCACTAATTACTCCTAAATTGGTGTCTCTATTTTGCCTAAAAAAATCATAGACATCTCCTATGCTAACTCAAACTGATTTCCCCTTCACCAAATCTTCATCTCCTGCAGCCTTCTCCCTTTCTCTTAAAAGGCATCTCTATTCTTCTGATAAATTAAGCCAAAATCTTTAGAGTTATTTTTTATTCCATGCCCTATATCCAGTCCATCAGCAAATTCTGTTGGCTCTACCTTCAGAATATGTCCAGAGTCTGACCATTTTTTAACTGCCTGTATCACTGTTAGCCTGATTCAAGACACCATCTTCTCTTTCTTGCATTACTGAAAAAAAAACCCTCCTACCAGTTCTCCCTGTGTTTACCCTTCACTATACTCAGTCTGTTCTTTACATAGCATCCTGCCCCTTTAAATATATGTCAGATCAAATCACTTCTACTCAAAAACCCGGCCTTGGTTTCTCATATCTTTCAGAGTAAAAGCCAATTCTTACAATGGCCCATCAGATTCTATATAATCTAGTTTCCCCACTGTCTCTCTGACTATACCTTCTATCACTCTCTGCTTTGTTTACATCATTCTAGCCTCTCTGGTCTCATCACTGTTCCTTAAATATATTTAAGACAGTCACCTTCAAGCCTTTGCACTTGCTGGAATATTCTTCCCCCATATATCTTCATGGGCTTCCCTCGTAGCTCAGTTGGTAAAGAGTCTGACTGCAATGCAGGAGACCTGGGTTCGATCCCTGGGTTGGGAAGATCCCTTGGAGAAGGAAATGGCAACCCACTCTGATATTCTTGCCTGGAAAATCCCATGGACAGAGGAGCCTGGCAGGCTACCGTCTATCGGGTCGCAAGAGTCGGACATGACTGACTAAGTGCACAGCGTGCTCACATATATCTTCATAGCGCATCTCATTTCTTTCCAGCCTTTATTTGAATGTTATGTTCTTAGCTATGCCTTTCTTGCCTAATTTAAATAAATAGCAGCAATCCCCTACTACCTCTCCCAACTGGAAGCATTCCCATCATTTTCCCCCTGTTCTATTTTTCCTGTTGGAACTTATCCACAAAGCTTACTAGAATACAAGCTCCATGAGTACAGAAACTCACCTGTTTTATTCACTGCTATATCCACAATACTTAAAGCAGTATTTGACTTGTAGTAAACCTCAATAAATATTTGTGAAGTACATAAATGAGAGAGAAAAAAACAAATAAGAAGACAATGTTTATGGCATATAGTGTGGGTAAAAATATATAGCACTAATAATTTTGACAGTGTCAGAGTGAAGTACATATTCAAACACTTCCTCTAGGTAATACTGAAGAAAGGTGGGCAGATTTACTATTTAAATAATTCTGAATTGATCAATATTAAAGTAGGCATTCTTTTACTCAAAAAAGATTATAGAACACCAAAAAGCTATAGAATGAGGCAGAGTGTTTGAAGTGAAAGTTGCTCAGTTGTGTCTGACTCTTTGCCACTGCATGGACTGTAGCCCACAAGGTTCTGTCCATGGAATTCTCCAGGTAAGAATACTGGAGTAGGTTGCCATGCTCTTCTCAAGGGGATCTTCCGGGCCCAGGGATTGAACCCAGGTCTCCTGCATTGCAGGCAGATTCTTTACCATGAGGCAGAATGTTATAAACACCTTAAAAGAAATTTAAATAAAATTTAATTTTATTGATAAAATTAAAGAAATATTTGATGTGAACATTGAAGGGCTGACAGAATGTCAACAGGCAATGTAGGGAGAATCTTCTACAACATAGTAGGAAGTAGGCATTCCAAAGATGAGAAGAACCATATGCAGAAGTGGAGGTAGGAAATCAAGGGGTTTATTTGTAGTAACAGCAGCAACAGAGATCAGAGGGAGCTATGAAACATACATTCAAAATGCTGTGGGAGGTAATATTTAAGCCAACAAATGAGACATGAACTGGGGTTACCTAAGGAAAGAGCATTCCAAGCAAAGGTGTGCAGGACCTAGGTGGTGGAAAGATGGTGGCAAATTAAAAAAACTAGAAATCCTGTCTGGAGCAGAGTGAGGGAGAGAGTATGAGTCGAGGCTGAAGAAGATAAGTGCAGAATGCTGGGAGGATGAGGTATCACCCCGCCAAGAAGCCATATGGAAGCTTCTCTCACCCTGGTCTGCCATGGCAGCCTTGTGGCGAAGAGCAGAGGCTGGACAGCCAGGAAGACTGTCATTCTAGCCCTGCCGCAAACCAGGGGCAGCACAATACAACGGGAACGTGACGCTGGAGTGACATAGTAACAGAAGGTTCTTAGAATAGAGACTGAACATCACTCAATAGATAGGCTATTGTATTACTGCTCTCACTGTTAGAATGTTAACCTATTTCAGTTTCCTCACCAAAAGAATGGGATTAAATAGGACTATTGCAAAGATTCACTGCATGGCATAAAATTAAAAAGGCTGTCTACAATAATGGCAGCTACTTCTCAAAAAAACATTGAATATAACTCACAGCAACTTTTACTATTCTCATACTAGGAATGTTCCTGAAATACTACTATTCTGAATGTTTATGTCTAACCTTTCCAGTCACCCTAAAAACATATTATCTTGGTGGTGATGAAAAAATTTGTGTGCCACTTTCCATCTGTACCAGGTACCATACCACTAATCTTCAGTGAGATGTTGTGCTTTCATAGACTCCAGTGTCATCTAACTTTAGCGTGTAGGTGGAAGATTCCTGCGGAAGTCTTCAAAGATCACACCCACCATAGCTTAGACTAATGGTCAGATGCAATCCAGCCACCCAGAAAAGAGCTTCTTCATGCTTCAGAACTATCAATGGTTTACCTTCCTTGCCCTGCAGAATTTGACCAAATAAGTCTCTGCACAAGTCTATTTAGCACTCTCCTCTCTAGAGAAACACTGCTTAGTGCCACTCCTGGGCTATGGGCCCAGCCATAGCCTCAGGTCCAGGCAGGAAGCCAAGTTCTCGCTTGTCCATAGATAGCTGGGACACACATTGTACACCTCCTCCTTACTGTTGATTCTGGCAGCCTGACTTCATTACTTGTTTCCTGATTCCATTTGTCCTTTATCTTCTAAATTAGAACCTCCTGAGTCTTGCCTTGGATTTCCTTTAATTATGATTCTGAGTCCCCTAACTAGCATTGCATTCCATCAAGTCCAGCTCTACCACAGTACCCTCCTACCCCAGGCCCCTATTATTACCTAATATTACCTATATATTACCCTAGTAATATTGTTATCGAGAAAGATGTGAGGATGTCTTAAAGATTGGTGGAAAGTAATAAGCATTCAGTTCAATCCATGTTATTTATTTAGTGTCTGCTGTGTTCTAAATGCTTAGTGCTGGGAATGCAATGTTAATAGGACACAGAGTCTGCTCTTAAAGAGTTTATCTCAGGAGTTGCCAAACTTTTTCTATAAAGGCCAGGTAAAATAATTCAGGCTTTGTGGGCTACATATGGCCTGTGTTGCACATTATTCTTTATTTTTCCCCAACTTAAAAAATATAATCACCATTCTTAGCTTGTGAACCAAGGGCATGTGCTATATGCTGTGCTAGTGTGTGTGTGCTAAGTCGCTTCAGTCATGTTTGACTCTGTGACCATATGGACCATAGCCCGCCAGGCTCCTCTGTCCATGGGATTCTCCAGGCAAGAATACTGGAGTGGGTTGCCATTTCTCTCTCCAGGGGATCTTCCCGACCCAGGGATTGAACGTATATATCTTATGTCTCTTGCACTGACAGGCGGATTCTTTACGAGGCGGATTCTAGTGTAGTGCTATCTGAGAAGCTCGGTCACATCCAATTTTCCCGACAAGAGTACTGAAGTGGGTTGCCATGCCCTCCTCCAAGGGATCTTCCCGACCCAGGGATTGAACCCACATCTCCTGTGTCTCCTGCATTGCAGATGGATTCTTTACCTGCTGAGCCACAGGGGAAGTCTGGACCAAGGGCATACCCTTGGTCTATAACTTGTGGGTAATTGGCAATAAGGTGTGATAAATTCTTTCACAAAGGTAAGGACAGTGGCTAAGCAATTTCATAGGAGGATCATAAAACCCAAGCCTGGGGGATGAAACAAGGTCCTAAAAAAATGATACCTAGTTTGGATATTGACAGATTAAGATATAAAATTGGGGCAGATTTCAGTCCATTCAAAGGCAGAAGCATGAGTAAATGTCTTAAGATAAAAAAGGGTCTGGCCCATTCTGAAACTTCAGGTTGTTCAGTATGGCTAAAACGTAAAATGTCAGGATTTAAATAGAAGAGACTTCTATTTATAGAAGGGCTTCCCTTGTGGCTCAGCTGGTAAAGAATCTGCCTGCAATGTGGGCGGATTGACCTGGGTTCAATCCCTGGGTTGGGAAGATCCCCTGGAGAAGGGAAAGGCTACCCATTCAGTATTCTGGCTTGGAGAACTCCATGGACTGTATAGTCCATGGGGTTGCAAAGAGTCGGACACGACTGAGCAACTTTCACAAATAGAAGAAACAAAACACAAGAGTTAACCAAAGGCCAGATGCCAAGTAAAGGAAGGTGTAAACAATGATTTTAACTTCAAGGTAAAAGATGTAATTACATTACCAACCCCTACCCTTCCAGAGTCTGTGAGGAAAATGAGGGCCTCAGGAGAAAGCTAGATTTCAGTTGCCCTTAATAGGCAGAAATGGAATTTATAGAAACAAAAAACCTCAAACCAAAAGAAAACCTAAAACTCAGGAGTTCAGTGGTAATTATGATAGAACAGAGGTGCCATAGTCTTTGGTGATAATGACAGACCTGGAGGCTGAGGAAAAGAGTGAGTGGTGGTCAGTGTGGGGAGTTTGATGAAGCTTGTAGGAGACCTGCACCCTTGTTACTGCTGGGCAGTTGTTAGCAAAGGGGCTATGCAGAGAGGGAATGGGGTCTGAAGGAATAAATGGGCTCCAAGATTTCATGTGGAATACATGATTTAGTAAATACTCTTTGGCCTTCTACATTTAAAACGCATGGAAACAGAGTCTGCTGTTTAATTATTGATCCATTTTTCAAGTATTTAGCATCTTTTTCACTAGAGAATAACATTTATTCATCTAAATCACTTTGACATATTAAGGTACATAATTAAAATGCATTAATTAAATTACGGGTGGTCTTAAGAATTCAAATGCCTTTTTTAGAAATGGACAGTTGAAATTAATTAGTTTGTTACTGTTCTAGGACCTTACTAACTTAACCAGGCTACGTCACTTAAAGGATTTATGTCTGAATGATCCTCAGTATAAAACCAATCCAGTTTGTCTGCTGTGTAATTATTCCACACATGTGTTATATCATTTGCCTTGCCTTCAAAGACTTGATACGATTGATGTGTCACCAAAGCAGATCAAGGAACTGGCAGATGTAAGTGTATCCCAATCAGGTATCTGTGACTTAAGTTTAATTAACTGCTTCTTTCTGGCTATGTCAACATGTGGTAGGTAGTATTATTTTGTCAGTGTTGTTACCAATTCTACTTCTGCCCAGTGAGCTGGATATTTCACATAAATGCATATAAATAATAATAATATTAGTACTAGAACCTCAATTTTGATGACAGTACTAGAAGGTAAAATAATAGAAAAACATTTATAACTTATATAAAGCTTAAAGAAGAAAATCTGAAAAATTATCATCAGTGCTAAGAATATACGAAAATTAATAAAATCTAAACAAAGTAGAAATGAAACAAGTAACTTCCTCTCATTTGAAATATTATATATCAAAATTAGAAAATACCAACATGGCTACCAGGATTAGGTAGATTTTAATCTAATTAAAGATGGCTTGGGGTTCTCTGTAAGTATAAGTGAATCCATCCACACTGCCAAAATCTTGAAGATGTCCAAAATCTTGAAGAGAGCTTTTCCTGGGCTGTCACTGATGGTGAATCTCCCAGTAAAGGGGTTACTTTGACATGGTACTAAAGGCTTTGTAATTTGAGAATAGAGTTCATAGGAATTTACCATGTTTATTAATATTCTTTCCACATTATATTTCTACTTCTCCTTCCAGTCCACTGAGTCCCATTTGTTCATTTAGTTAACCATTCAGTAAACACTTTATGAGTATCTAGAATGTGCCAAGCATGTGGATGCCCCCACATAAAGCCCTTCCATTCTTTCCTTGTGGTTCATCCATTGTCTCAACATAGATGAAGAATGTCTTTACCCATTTATCTTGTTTCTCTTCTCTTGTTAGCCTGAGGATTTATTCTCAAGTTCCCTTCTTTCCTCTCTTCTTTTCAAAACTGTGATTATCTTCTCTCCCATTCCAGTCTAAGAAGTGAGCTGTCTTGTAATATTGAGCAAAGGGCTAGAGAGTTATTGTCTACTAGCAGAGGTTCAGAGTCTTTGGAGGGTCAGGTAGGAATGTCTTCTCTAACAGTGTTAAGTCAAAAATAATTACAAAACTTTGCAGTAACAACCATATTTTTGAAATTTCCATTATCATCTCTGTGTTTTTTAATCACACACTTTCTAAAAGGTGAGCAGGGTGAATGCGCTTCACTAAACTACTTGTCTGATTAATTTATCTAACAAATATTTAATGCCTATTAGACATTGAGACACAGTTCAGGGCACTAGGAATAAAATGACCAAAATAGATAAAACCCCTGCTTCCATATGGAGTTTACATTCTAGTGAGAGAAGACAGATAATAAAGACTAAATGAGTAAAAAACTAGTATGTCAGATGGTGATAAATGCTATGGAGAACAACAGGGTGAAGGAAACAAGATTGTTGGTAAGCACAGTGGAAGGGCTGTTGGCTCTTTTATATAGAATTGTTGGAAAATGATTTATTTAGGCAACATTTGAGGAGAGAACTGAGGAAGTAAGGGGGCAAGCTCTTCAGGGATCAGCAAGAACAAAGGCCTTAAGCAGGAGCATGCCTCTCGTATTTTAAGAACAACAAGGAGGCTAGTCTGACTGGAGCTGAGTAAATAAAAAGGAGAGAAAGAGATGAATACGGGAGTGGCGGGGGCAGTAGGGGGAAACCATGTGAGATTGAAGAATGGGATAAGAACTTTGGCTTTTACTTTAAGTGATGTGAGGCCACTGGAAAATTTTGAGAGGAGATGAAATGAGATGCCTTATGTTTTAAAGTATTAGTCACTCAGTCATGTCCGACTCTGTGACCTCATGGACTGTAGCCCGTCATGAAATTCTCCAGGCAAGAATACTGGAGTGGGTAGCCATTCCTTTCTCCAGGGGATCATCCCAACCCAGGGATCAAACCCTGGTCTTCCACACTACAGACAGATTCTTTACTGCCTGAGCCACCAGAGATGCAAAGGGATCTTTTTTTGGATAATGAATTAAGAATAGAGGATTCGAGGGAAAAGGTGAAAGCAGAGAGACCAGTTAGGTTCCAGAAACTTGGATGAGAGATGTTGATGGTTTGATACAGGACACTATAGAGAAGGTAGTAAAAAGTAATCAAATAGTGGTAGTAGTTAGAACATGGAACCCATCTGGATTTGCTGATAGAATTTAAAGTGTAGGAGAAGAAAGTAGAGAATAATTCCAAGCAACTGGCCCAAGCAACTGAAGGAAAAGGAGCTGCTATTTGATGAGATGAGGAAGAGTATGGGAAGAGTATATTTAGAAGGAAGAATCACAGTTTAATTTTAAGCACAGAAGGCTTGAATAATCTTTTGAACATCTGAGATAGATATGAGTCTATTTAAGAGAGTTGCCCAGGTTGAAGATATAAATATGAGAATTGAAAAGAGAAGGATATTACCAAGCTGAGGACCGGACGAATCACCGAGGGCATGGTGTGGATGGGGAAGTGTGTCACTTGGGTAGGTAGGTCCTGACTTTATTTGCTACTTGTAGGCAAAAAAAAAAAAAAAGCACCATTTGCCATTTCCTTAGTTAATGACTTTTTTTTTCCTCAGTGGCACCCAAGAAACAAGCTCTTCTTGGTTAGGAATTTTTATCTGCTAATCATCACACAAAACAGCTTTCCCCACTCTTAAACTCTCCACTTTTGTGAATGCCTTATTTTTTGCACAAGAATTAAATGATTTCAGTTTCAGAATTTCATAGTATGTGTGGGAAAGGGAATTATTTTGCTTTTTCAGCATGCATATATTTGTTTCCATTCCATCTTTTATGCCAAATAATTCTGTCGGGATCTTGACTATCCACTCTCTACTCAATAAATCCAATAACAGTATACAGCCTTCCAACTTATCTGAAGTACAGATTTCCTGATAANTCACAAAGAGTTGAACACAACTGAGTGACTGAACTGAACTGAACTGAACTGAGGGTTAGTTCTCTGGTCGTCTAGGATCTTGGAGTCAGTGCTCCCACTCCAAAGGCTAGAGCTTGATCTATATCCTCCCACTAGACTGTAAATCCCGTGCAGCACTGGGAACATGTCTGGTTCATCACTATGATGTCTTCATCAAATGTGATATAACTCCCAGTGGCTCAGCTCGTAAAGAATCCACCACACCCATGTCGAGAAATCCAAACAGGCAGAAGCTCAAGGTCAAGGAAACTCTCAGGCGCCATGGAAAGAACAGGAGTTTCTGAGGCAGGCTGGCCACCATTCTCTTAAGAAACCTGAAGTGCTTTCCAAGACTTCTCAAGCCTCCACTTCCCAGTCCATAAGATGGGGAGAAGCTAGTCGTGTCTGCAAAGCTCCTAGTGCCTGGTGTATTTCTTAATGGTGGATTTAATCAGTTTATTATGATAAGCATTAATAACTACATGAGTCATTGATATTAAGAAATTCAAGATAACTGAATTAGATTGACAGTTTAGTAACTTGCTCAATCTGAAACAAATTCATTTAGAGCATCATTTTACAAATTTGAAGAAAAAAAACATGAAGTGCTCTTTCTTAACCATGATTTTTAAAAATGTATAATGTTACCTTTGCTTTTATTCTCTTAAATTTATTTTTTTCAATTAATCAAATAGGAATAATACATTAGCTTTAATAGTACTGCTGCATTACTTAAATGGTACTATTTGTAAATTGAGCTCTATCTATATTTTCTCTATGTTGTCATCCTGAAAGTAAATGTAAATATGCCCCACACTTAAAATATTACCCACAGAGAAAATCTTTGAAATTTTATATTTTGCTTATTAAATTTGAGTAGAGAATTCTGTATAACCATTATCATTTCAACTAATATTAATAGTAACTGAGCATGTAAAACTTTAAATTATTATATAAACACACCACACTCATATAATACCACTAATAATTACCTATAATGTTTTTTGTTTCAACTAACCTTCTGGTTTTTTTTCACTTTTAGACCACAGCAATGAAAAAAATAATGTATTACAATATGCGTATAAAAACTGTTCAGAGGCATCTTAATGAAGATCTTGAAAAACTGAATGATCGAAAATGTAAATTACAGAAGTTGCCAGAAGAACGAATAAAATTATTCAACTTTTTGAAAAAAAATGTAAGATAATATTGTAAAATTTCAATAGCCATGTCTTAAGAAAACTGGCAGATGGCATTATCTTTTAAATTTTTTATGTATATATAGAATTATACATATACATTAGTACCAAGTTTGAAGTAAGTTTGCCCTGAAAATGTTTTGATTCTAGGTATTTAACTCGGCTTCATTCTGTGCTTAGAAGTCTGCAATTTAAAAAGGGTATAGGCTTATTAATTTACAAAATTTGAAAAATGCTGGGTAATCCAATATGATTCACTGAGTTATAGAGATCTGTGAGACTTATTTCACTCCATTTTTATTAGATACCTGCAGGCTGTGCTCAAAATTCATTTTTTGTCTAAAGAGCTAAAATATTCCTTTACTAACACTATTAAGGTATACAATGTGGGAACTTTATAACAAGCTATACTTTAGTAGTTATGTTCCTTTTTTATTTAGAATAAATTGAATTTCCTTTATTAAAAGTAGACTCTGAAAAATGAAGAATTACCTCAAAACAGAATTTTGTATGTATCAGAATTTATTGTATTTTAAAAGTATAGGAAAATAATGGTTTATTTAAAAAATAGTGTTACAAAAATAGTCACACTACTTGGGAGTAGGAGAATTGAGTCCTTACTTTATACTTTACCAAAAGCTAATATAATGGGGAAAAAGAATTAAATGTAAAAATAAAATCATAAAAAGGCAGAGAATATATAGATTAATATATTTAACTGCTCTCAGTCTGCCAAATAAGAAAAATACTATAAACTCTAGAAAAACACTAAAAATCATGAAGAAAAGAATTAAGATTTGATTTTAAAAAGGTGCTTTTGTACTATAAAGAATCATTAATGAAAATAAATAATAGATGACAATCTGAAAATTTTTGTTTAGGATAAAGGTACTCATAAACAAAAAAAAGGAAATATCCAGATAGAAAAATTGAACAAATGCCATGAACTTTCATTTTACAATAGAAGAAATAAAAACTGACTAATAAACATTTGAAAGAAGACCTCAATCTGATTATTAATTTCTGAATATGAAATAAGACAACAAGCAGCCATTTTCACCTATAAATTGGTCATAGCCTGCCTGGTGAAGATGCATGTGTGCACGCTCAGTCGCTTCTGACTCTGCTACCCCATGGACTGTAGCCCACTAGGTTCCTCTGTCCATGGGATTTTTTCAGGCAAGAATACTAGAATGGGTTGTCATTTCCTACTCCAGTAGACTGGAATGGATTGTCATTTCCTACTCCAGGGGTTCTTCACAACCCAGGGACTGAACTCGAGTCTCCTGCATCTCCTGCATGGGCAGGCGGATTCTTACTCCTGAGCCACCTGGGAAGCCCACCCGGTGAAGATGGGTGTGACTTACTCCACTGAAGAGGGTGTAATTGGGTCACATGTATTACTTAACAGTCTAAAAACGCTCCTAGCCTTTGACCTAGTAAATCTACTACTAGATTCGGATAAATACTTATATAGAAGAATATTCATCACTGTGCTATTAATAATAATAAAAACTGGAAACTACCTAAATGTTTAAATTTAAAAAGAGAGGAAGAATTATTCATTCTAAGATAGAATGGTATGTAGCCATTAAAAACCAAGTTTTTAAATACATTTAGTACTGTTTCTGAAATGAACAAGTTTAAATTCAATTATAGTCAAAGAATATTCTTAAAGTTAAAACATTAACATAATTTAAATTATTTATTTGAATAAAAAGTCACAGGAGAACCCGTATATGGAAATTACTCTTTATCTGCCATTTTCATATGCAAATGGATATATTAATATGTGAAAAATAATAGCTAAAGGTTATGTAAACTACAGACAGTTTTATAAAATATGCTTCCTTAGTTTTTTAACAACTATATATAGCCATTACAGAGAAGGGAGTAGAGAAACAACAAATTAGCCTATTTGTATACACCTGTCTGTGTACAGTGCAATTTATCTTGAAATCCATCCTACAAGACTGGGGTTAGGGTAAGGCAAATGGGGCACTCACTCTGGGCTCAAAATTTAAGGGAAGGTCCAAAACCTCCATAATAAAGATAAATCTTATACTTTAATATAATAATACATTTAAAAAATACCAATGAATGCAAAAAAGTCCTTTATGAACAAAAAAAATCCCAAATATCATTTTATTTGATAGTTATGTTGATAACTATTGTGCAGTCATATAGGAGACTGAGGCAAAGAGAAAAATGTGCACTGCTATACCCATGCTTTTTTGTATTTTCTGTTAATTTTTCCCAGAATACCAAAGTAGTTGAAAAAGTGAAAAGTAGGAGTGGTAAAAGTCACATTATTTCTAATTTAGATATTTTCTTCATATCAAAACCAGCATTTCTTATCATTTTACTTTAATGGAAGCTAACTCATCAATAATATTTTAAAATTTACTTCTTTGCTTTTCTTATTTTTAATTGAGAGGACTGCTATGTTTGAAATAGTTAATATTGTCTTTCATTTGGGCAATGGGTGACTGAACTTGAACTAAAGTTATAATCATGTGTTAGCAATGGTTTTATGAAGTTTGACTTATTTGTATCTAGGTTTCTACTTTACTAATTTAAGTTAGCTAAATATTTAATAGATTACACTAAATGATTTTGCTCTCTGGCACATTGATTTCAACAGTTGGAACGGGAACTGACTGAACTCAAAGGATCTGGCAAAGCACACAATGATAGATCCAGTAACAATAAAGTACCTGAGCTTGAAAAGTCAAAAATCTGTGAAACTGTCTCAGAAGAACCAAGTCTTCAACAGAAGATAGTGATCAAACTAAATGCCTTGAATGAAAGGGTAACATTCTGGAACAAAAAACTAGATGAGTATGTTTAATGAATTATCTAGTTGTTCAAATTTGAAACATGAAGATAAAGAAAGTTCTAGGTCATTAGTTGAGCCCAATTCTCTCCTTCAGGAATGGAAAGAATTACAGTATGAAGTACAACACAAAATGTGTTTCCAGCCCAGTTTTTAGGAGAGATGGGCATCTCTGGTTCAAAGCTAAATTTAGTTTTTTACAGAGGCAATACTTTACTAGAAACAGTGCATTTCCTTTGAGTGGCTTCTTGTCACACCGTTACTCTAGTATCTGCAAACTGAAAACATTAGTTTTTTTTAACATTAGCTGCTACTGGTGCAGAAACTCACAACATAGATGAGACTGGGCAAAGCACATAAAAAGTTGTCTGGAAATATGTAGAAACAAACTCAGGTTGAGTATCAACTAGAAACAGAAATCAAGAAGACTTAGTAAGTCTATGAGTTTCCTTTTACTTAAGAGGGCACTAAGTGAATAAGTTAGTTTGCCCTATAATAAATAATACTAACAAAATAATAACTAATACTTACTGAGTTCTTCCTCAGTGCCAAATTCTTTTCTAAAAGCTTTACATATATTTTGCATATAATCCTCAAAAAGGCCTATTCAGGTATAAGTACTATCAATAATGTTATTTTCTGAGAAATTGCAGTAGAAAACTGTTGTGATTTGTCTAAAATCTGAGAATCATAAATGGTAAAGCCAGGAGTCTTCTAACCTTCACTTATTCTGAGGTTAACAAAATTTGAAGTGATTGTAATTGCCAAAAATAGAATGTCTTTTACTTGGTTTAAATGTTAACACCAAACTTTCTTTATCCACTAATGAAAGCCTTATATTTTGACATCAACTTAGAAGAAGCTATCATGAATTTTAATGTTGTGATTTTTAGATAATTTTAATGTTGTTTTTTTCTTAAATAGAATTGAAGCAATTTATCGTATTGAAGTAAAACGAAAGAAGAAAAGTCATAGTTTATTAATCCCATTTTTGTTAATTGAATTGGAGACGGTGGGAAATATCCACTTTGAAGAAGGCACTCGATCTGATGACTGGTAAATCTTTTGAAATTTAGTTATAGCTTTAAAACTAATCTTAAGTGCTTAGGATCATAGACCAAAATATCAACTTATAAAAATCTTAAAGTGTCCCATTTCAACGCACTTTCCTTATAGAGTATTCATCAACTGAAAATTGGCAGTTACTTACTTTCAGTTCAGTTCAGTTCATTTCAGTCGCTCAGTCGTGTCCAACTCTTTGCGACCTCATGAATCGTAGCACGCCAGGCCTCCCTGTCCATCACAAACTCCCGGAGTTTACTCAAACTCATGCCCCTCGAGTCGGTGATGCCATGCAGCCATTTCATCCTCTGTCATCCCCTTATCCTCCTGCCCCCAATCCCTCCCAGAATCAGGGTCTTTTCCAATGAGTCAGCTCTTCCCATCCGGTGGCCAAAGTACTGGAGTTTCAGCCTCAGCATCAGTCCTTCCAATGAACACCCAGGACTTATCTCCTTCAGGATGGACTGGTTGGATCTCCTTGCAGTCCAAGGGGCTCTCAAGAGTCTTCTCCAACATCATAGTTCAAAAGCATCAATTTTTCGGCGCTCAGCTTTCTTCACAGTCCAACTCTCACATCCGTACATGACCACTGGAAAAACCATAGCCTTGACCAGACGGACCTTTGTTGGCAAAGTAATGTCTCTGCTCTTTAATATGCTATCTAGGTTGGTCATAACTTTCCT